ACTTCTTTTAACTTATTTTCCTCAATTCGTGTGAGGAGTCATTGGAATTGAGGAGTATCGGAAGCTTTATCCATGCCCTTAAGAACACATCCTTAAATTGGCAATCCATTCTACGGGTGGAATTTTTACTTCTACTATAGAGGAACCATAATCGAACGGGAGCGAGCTAAAACTCGTGGTATCTTTTCCAAAACCCTTTTTGCAATGAATGAATGTCTAGCACATTGGCTTACCCCACAGTTCATTCCCTTGCATGGAAGATAAATAGATAATAATTCATGCCTCTTGGTAGAATTTTTCCTTTAATAGAAGGTACACTTCACCCTACTAAAAACCTTTTAAAAAATAGACTCATTGGCATAACTAGAAATTGAAAACGATCAAAGAGCATGGTTGGCTATCACATCCTTCATAGTTACTACACTAGCCTCCCTAAACCAAGTGGAATTCCTAGATTTCTCAATTCAAAGTAAGATGAGTAATGAACATGCTTGTAAGGGATTAGAAAAGTCGAAGGTTAATTCAGTCCCTTGGATAGTAGAGGGTGACTTCAATGCAATATTGAAGCCTGCAGAAATATCTGTGACGTCTATTACTAGTTTTATGGAATACTTTAGTAACTAGATTTCAAGAATGGAGCTCTTTGATCATCCCTCACTTGGCCCTTGCTTCACTTGGACAAATAGACAAGAAAGAAACCCGATTTCCAGGAAGCTTGGTCAAGCTTTGAAAAATGAAAAGTGGTTTGATATGTTTCCAAATGTGTTGTGGAGAATATCCCTACTAGTTTCTTGTATCATTGTATTATTTTAGTGGCTACAAAGCACCTTCCGAAAACCCTCCCTAAGCCATTCAAGTATATCAACTTCTAGTCTGCCAATCCTGATTTTTAGAGCATATTTCATATTGGCTAGTCAATCCAAGCTCAAGGTGATTCTATTATCATTGATAATGCAAAGCTAAATGAAGTGAAAAAAGGGTTAAGGAAACTCAACAAGGAGGTATATAGTGATATTAGTGAGAAGGTGAAATCTGCTGATAACTTATTGCCAGTTGTCTGGTTGCACAGACTCAAGCTCTCAATGTACCTATAGGTGAAAACTTTTTTGAAGTATCAAATTTACAAAAGGAGCTTGAGGAATTGAAGAAGGCAAAGGAAGGCTTATATAAGCGTAAATCTAGAATACAATGGTTATCTTTGGGAGATCATAGTACAAGGTTCTTTCACCAAGCAGTCAGGATCTGAACTGCTAGGAAAGAAATAAGGAAGCTTATAATTAGGAATAATGGAGAGGAGATTATTGATGTTGAGGCCATTGCAAATGAAGCTCTATCTTTATATGCATCACTATTTGGCACTATGGATCAGGATGCTCAACCGTGTCTTATGGAGCTTGAGTCTCTTGTGAAACAAAGGTTGAATAAGGAGGAAAAAAACTATACTAGGTAGGCCAATAACAGTGGAAGAGATTAAGAAGATTGTTCGGCATATCAATCCACACAGAGCTCTAGGGCCAAATGGGTTCTCTATAGGCTTTTACAGAAAAACCTGGGAAATTATAGGGGGTGATATTACTGTAAGGCTATTGGATTTCTTTCATTTTGATCGCCTCCATAGTGGCATAAACTCCATTGTTATTTCACTTGTGTCAAAGGTACCATTTGCTTGCTCCTAAAAAGAATACGTACTTATCTCGTGTATTAATATTCTATATAAAATCATTGCTACAATATTGGAAGTTAGGTTGGAATATGTACTCACATTGTTATTAGTAATAACCAATATGCTTTCATAGAGGGAAGGATAATTGTTTGTAATATACCTATAGATTAGAAATTGGTAAGTGGATACCGTAGAAAGAATCTGTCATCAAGGTGTCGATTAAAGTTGATTTTAGGAAGGACTTTGATTCGGTTATTTGGGAATATTTTTTATAACGTTAGAGGATATGGGCTTTCCATATAGGTTTCTTTATATGATTAAATTGTTTGTAAAAACTGCAAATTTCAACATAAACTGAGGCCTGTGTGGGTATTTTTGAGCACATAGTGTGACCTATAAAAAGTTATATTTTGGTTAAGTGATGGTTATTAATCAATGGTCCTCATAAAATAAAGTAAATCCAACGGGCAAAAAGCTGGCGGCACTAGTGTCGTGCCGAGGGAGTGGATCTATTGCATGACCTTGTCGTGCATAACCTTGGATAACCATATACATACCATATATGGAAGGCTTCTAACTTTCTCTCCAATAAACTTTAATGGGTCAAAATTAAAATAAATGTACAGAAAAATCATATTAATTGTGCTATTCAAAATGACATCCACTTTGATATACTTTGGAACAAAAAAAAATGAGACTTTTATAACGAGTCCATACCATGTGATAGTGCTTGGTACGTTCATAAGAAAATGAGAATTTTCTTAGTACCTTCTCTTCTTGGATTTGAAACTACATCCCACCCCAGCAACTAGCAATATAATCAAATCCCATACCACTCACAGCATCCATGAAAACACTTGAATTATATTAAGAAACACCAACACGAGAGTTCAAACATTGAATCAATCACTAAATGGAGAAAGGATTGCCACAAAGCTGAATCAAACATACCAAATTTTATTCGTGTATAAGTGTATTGCATATCACATCTTGATTAGGAGTACGACCATATTGGTACTCCTTAATAATGTAAGACACCTGAAACAATCATGTCCACTCTCATTCAGTTTGGATACCTGGAAAAAACTCTCTCGTAGCTCCATCAACCGAGACCATTCAAAAGGTAAGAAGGAAAAATATGCATACCACATTCTTTCGGTATTCATCAGTCAAATGCGCAACTTCTAATGTACATCAACCTGGAAAACAAATTCCAAAAAGGGCACAACATCACTAACGATCAAACACATGCAGTTTATGAATCCCCCAAAAATCCAAAGATTACAATACAGAAACCTACAGATAAGGAGTGATCACATCATACTCCTCGATCATACTGCATGTTGAAACCAGTATGGAAGGAACTATAAGTATCAGTGACTGGAGTGGCCGAGTGGTAACCTCATTGCATTTTCATACTTCAAATCCTCATCCCAAGGGCTTGATAGAGTAACTAATGGAGTGAAGGAATGACCGAAGGTGACGGTGTCGTCAAGAATATAGAGGAGACGAGGCAGCTGCTGGAAGGAGCAGGGCCCAATGATAGATGCGACAAATCAATATTAGGGGGCCGAATGATAGTTTTGTGGCGAAGACTGGGGTTTACCAGTTGCTCATCGTGGATTTCAAAGGGAAAAAGAAGATTAGTCCGTCGTTTTTTATTTGGTAGAGGGGAGAAAGTTTGAATTTGGATTTGGGGAGGAAGGAGCGATGGCTGAAGAGATCGCAGGTAGAGTTAGGAAATTTTGATTTGATTTGATTGACTGCAACAGACAACATGGAGGTGGGGATTCAAACATGGACTCATTAATGCAGTAAAGTCGTTTTCCGCTGGAGAATGGGGAGATACCAGCATCCTCATTTTAAAGAAACAAAGGATTTATGTTTTCCATCCACTGCCACATTAGTTCCCCACCATTTTTTACAAATGGAAATGAAATGATAAGTGAAGAAGTTTTTTCGTCTCTGTTTTCAAATTTCAGTTGCCACAACAAAAAATCAGAAAACAAAATGACAATAGTAAGTCAAAAGTATTTGTAAGTTCATGTGGCATAATCTGAAACTAACAAATGACTATATTTGTCCACCACATTAAAAGTTGTTTTGTCTGATTTATGATACTTTCGTTTCTTTTTTTCTGTTTTATCATTTATGATACTTTCGTTAGCATCAACTATAGGGAAAGTGATTTGGGTTGGACGATAGAATAAATTAGGGGAGCTCTGTCCTCTCTCCTAGTCTGGTGTTCGGCTGCCATCCTATCTCTGGTGGAGTTTTGCAAGGCGGCCGGTGCTACGTTTCTCTCTTTCTTTTCATTGATCCTCCTATATACCCTTGCTAATCAAGGGATCCAAGTAACTAGGTGGGCTCAGGTGACCTCCGTGGGAAAGGTGAAGGAAGAGCGGTCGGCGACCGCACGGTGGAGGAGATTGTACACCGAGGAGACTTTAAACAAAAGGTCCCTTAAGAGGCAAAGGGAGCAAGAGACTGCACATCCTCGCTCACAAGAAGAATCAATGTCCAAACGATGATGCCATCCTAGGTGCGTGATGTGGCGTTTTGTCTTGCCTTCATCGGAGGGTATAGAAGAAGAGTGGCAAAAGGCCCTGATTGGGTGGCCTACCCAACGATCGCAGAGGGATTCTGTCAATTCCACGGATCCCCTGATCAATGTCCCGTCATGTGAACTTAGACCCCGAGATGGGGCGAGTTCAGAACTTAGATCTCGGTGTGGGACGAGTTCGTTTAAGATGTGTGGAGGGGCTCAGACGACGACTCCGTCTGTTCAAGCACATCCGGCGGCAAGACTATGGTCTCCGCCGTTTTGCCGATTAATCCCTCGCTGGAATGCTTGCCGAGGAACAGCCCAGCTATCCAACTAAAACCTAACGGTGCGGCGATATCACCGGGGAAGGATAATGGAGCTAAAAATCTTCGGTTACGGCGTATCTGCAAGTGGGTGGAAATATCCCCCAGGCAGTTATTTAATTTCGAAAATGCTAGTTTCCCACTCCAAGTAGAATCCTCTCTGAAGTGGAGGGCTGAGACCTGCGTGGCCTATTTAACGAGACCCTTTCATCCTCCATCCTGTCATCGATTCTGTGGCGAGGAAGCTAGGAGAACCAGCAGGTGTCCTTTCAATCTCATGCAGGATCTCTACTCGGGTATGTGGATGTTCTCAACCTCGGAAATTGTGTTCATAATATGGATGGATGATTGCCCCATTATGAACCTATGTTTCCCTGTCTCTAATTACCCTTGGCTTGCTGTAAGTAACCCTCTTGGCACTGCGTACGTTTGTGACAATTGGGCTTTCCCTCTGTTGCAGTTGAACACAATGGCGCATATCACAAGTGATCGGGTTGTGGAATTCTCTATGGCAGAAGTTCAACCTGAGCGAGTGCGTTGGACCAAAATGCTGCTCGGCCGTGTCTTTTCGGAGGATCGGCTGACAGTGGCGGAGCTGAGAGAGGCGGTAAATAATCCGTGGCAAGGCCAAGGCCGAATTAAGGTGCGAGAAGTAGCGCACGAGTTGTATGAATTCACTCTCCCAACTGAAGCTGCGAAGAAATGGGCACTTCAACGCACACCGTGGGTGATTAAGGATAGAATCCTTCATCTACGTGCTTGGGTATCAAATATTTCTGCCCGCACTTTCGACGACATGGCGATTGCCCCGTTTCGAGTCCAATTATGGGACGTACAAGATGACTGTTGCACCCAGCAATTTGGCAGGAAGGTGGCGAATTCAACCCTTGGCCGAGTCCTTGAATCGGGTGTTTTTGTTTGCAGTGACACGGCCAGCAATTTCATTAAGGTCAAGGCGCTTATTGACTTCTCCAAACCACTGCGTTCTCAAGTCCTGGCCACAAATGACGAGATGGGATCCTTCTGGATCTGTTTCAAATATGAGCACCTACCCAGTTTCTGCTACAATTGTGGCCGAGTGGGGCATTTTTGACAAGCTTGTGGATTCGATCCGCCTACCCGGAAAGAGCGATTTGGCCCTCATATGCAGACCAAAAAAATGGGTAGGAAGATCTTTGAGGAAGTGGAGAATGATCAACGCCTACATGGCCCATCAAATTCGGTATGGGTTAATACTAATATTCGTCACAATGCTGGTATGGAGGATCGGGCTGATCACCGGAGGGGTACTAAGATGCATAATGAGCCAAACTCGGCAAAATTACCAATCGTGGACGAAAGCTCGCAGTGGCTGGGATCCTCGACCAATCCCTTCATCACTACTGAGACCCGCAATGTTAAGCAAGGACGGAGTCCTCGTCGCTTCCCGGTGCAAAAAATACCCAAAATTTCAATGGGGAAGCAGGGGCGTCGCCACAAAGTTCGATCCAGGTCATCGGGTAGTCCGATGGAGGTGGATGTGCAACGCAAACCAAATCCAGCTCTACAGAGGCGTCAAGATGTCTGAAATCTCTGCGGCCCGCTAAAGGGGGTGCTCTTGGGCAAACAAAGCAAGCGCGTGTAGAGAATACCCAACGTCAGGTTGCGGAGCCAGCTGCTGACCCCAATCCTCATGCCACGGTCAGGGAGGCAACCCGCCGGAGGCGCCTTATTCTGGAAGAGGAATCGGAGTACGAATTTATTGTCCAGAGCATATCTCCGAACAGGAAGGGGGATACCCAGCGACTGCCTGGGAAGATGGATGGTGGCCGACCTAAGCCTTCTAAAACGGCTGCTCACCGTCGGGAGTGTGGCCAGCTGGGAAATGGGCCGGGCAAGGAGGATTTACCTTCCTATGCACCCACTTTGAATGATGGGCCTGAGCCCAATTCACGGCTGCCTAAGGCCCCAGCGAAGCCTGCTATGGCTAAGAGGCTGAATCGGCCCAGCAAAGCAGTTCAAGACCCTAAGGGAGCGGTTAACAAGCCCGAATTGCCCAAAGGGGAGGTGCTACGAGCTGGCCACTCTGACCCTACCGACTCGGTGGACTCAGTCTTGGAAAGTGAGGCCCAATCTTTTGAAATCCGACGACGTTCACCTGTGGTCATGGGGAAAATGCGGCGTCTGGCCCATTCCACTAAAGTCAGTCAGGTGGTGCGAGCCTTTGAGCAGGGATTGGCGATGAGGGACGATAAGGAGGGGCCCAATAATGGAGAGAACCAAGCTCAAGGGAGCATGGATAGGCAGAAACCGATTTTGGACACTGCTCAAAATATCTCCTTTAATGAATATGGGACCAATTTGTCAGACCCGGAGAGTGGTGCCAAGAAACGGCAATTTGATGAAATGGAGGGTGAGGAGAATCCTACCCCAAAACGCCAGTTTGTGGAGGACAAAGATGGAGTGGAAAAGGTGGAGGAAGCAGCCTAGAGTGGCCCCAACTAGTTAAATGAGGCTTCTTGCCTGGAATGTGAGAGGAATTGGACCATCCCTCACATTCCAAACTGCTATTGGTTTATTGCATTCTAATAAACCGGATCTTGTGTTTTTCTTGGAAACACGATCGAGCCGGAGAGTAGTGGCCCGTCGTATGCGGGGTTTAGGCTTTCAGCATTCTCATTGTTTCTTTGTTGATGCTCTTGAAGCATCGGGAGGGTTAGTAGTAGCGTGGTCCCCCGGGGTTGATGCTTCGGTGTTTTTCCATTCCCATTTTTGTATTTGCACTCAGATTAATGAAATTGAGTTTTCTTATGTTGTGGTTTCGGTGTATATTAGCTGTGATATGGCCACTAGAGCCGACCAATTGGCCCAATTGCAAGATATTTGTAATGCGATCATGCTTCCCTATGTTGTCATTGGTGACTTTAATGCTACCCTTCATGAGGGTGAGAAGGATGGTGGAATGCTTGGAATGCTGCTCAGTCTCTTAGTCTCCGGGAGTTTGTCCAGGTGTTGGGCCTCCATGATCCAGGGTATCAGGGAGACCAATTTACTTGGACGAACAAACGAATGGGGGCTGCTTGCATTCGTGAGCGACTGGATAGGGCGCTATGCTCCCAGTCATGGATTGACAATTTCCCTGAGACTTTGGTGAAACATTTCACGGACCAGGGGTCGGATCATCGTGCCCTCCTCCTGTCCGATAAGCCATATGTTCACAATACCAGACCTCTGTTCCGCTTTGATGCTCGTTGGGCTGATAATCCGGAGGTCAGAGTTATGGTCAACTATGTTTGGCAGGAGAATATTCAAGGTACCCCTATGTTTCGACTTTGGGAGCGCCTGAAGAAATTAAGACATCTTCTCTATGATTGGAGTAGGGCAGGGACTACGAATTCCCTTCGGAATATCAAAACTCTTCAGGGTGAGATAGATCGTCTCAAATCTGCTCACCCCATTAACTGGGACTCGGTTCGTAGCCTTGAGACTGAGCTTTCTCGTCAATGGGAGGCTGAGGAAGTCTATTGGCAACAAAAGTCCAGGATCCGATGGCTTCAGAAAGGCGATAAAAATTCCTCTTATTTTCACACTGTGACAAGAGCACGTCGAAAAAGGAATTTTGTATATGGTCTATATAATACAGAAGGAGGATGGGTTACGGAGGAGAAGGGAAAGGCTACTATTTCCACGGAGTTCTATCATAAGTTATTTACCTCGGAAAATCAAGTCCCAGATGTGATGGAGAGGGTGGCAGCTTTGCCCATCTCTCGTAGCGTCACTCCGGAGATGAATGCTAGTCTAACAGCAGCAGTCTCGCCGAGTGAAGTGCGGAAAACAGTCTTTATGATGGGATCGAAACAGGCTCCGGGGTCTGATGGTTTCACGGGCAAGTTCTTTAAGGCCTTCTGGGATATTGTTGGGGACTCGGTAATCGAGGCAGTCTGCTCCTTTTTCGTAACGAGTAGGATGCTCCGTAGTTTCAACCATACTTGGCTAACTTTGATCCCCAAAGTGGATAATGTGGAGTATGTGAAACAGCTGCGCCCGATTAGCTTATGCCAATTTGTTTACAAGATTATAACCAAGATCATGGCTGAGCGACTCTCCAACCTCTTACCACAGATTATCTCAGATAGTCAGAATGCTTTCATCCGTGAGCGGCAGATAATTGATAATATCCTCCTTGGACACGAGCTAATGCATTATCTCAAAATTAAAACACGGGGGAAGAAAGGATACATGGCTCTAAAGGTTGACATGGAAAAGGCCTATGATAGAGTCGAATGGTCGTTCCTTCTCGCGGTGTTGAATAAGATGGGTTTTAGTTCTGTCTGGCAAGGGTGGATAAATGAGTGTCTTAGATCATCTTCTTTCTCGGTTCTCACGAATGGTACCCCGTCAGGTTATTTCACTCCTTCCCGGGGACTACGGCAGGGTGATCCGCTCTCCCCTCTCTTGTTTGTGCTTTGCACTAAGGGATTTGCAGCGCTCCTTCGTCAGGCTATCTCGGAGAAGCGACTGGCCGGGGTTAAGGTGGCTCCGCGTGCCCCTCGGATCTCCCATTTGTTCTTTGCGGACAATTCATACTTATTCTTGCGAGGCACACTTCAGGAGTGTGAGAACCTGATTGAAGTTTTGAACGATTATGAGGAACTTAGCGGTCAACGGGTGAATCTGGAGAAATCGGCAGTGTGTTTTAGCAAGAATATCTCCCTACCTGACCAAGAATTTTTGGCCACCATTTTGGGGGTAGGGGCAGTAGGGGTCCAGGATAAATATCTGGGTTTGCCGACTCTGATTGCGCGATCCAAAATGGCAACTTTCCGATACCTGGAGGAAAAACTGTTAGAGCGACTCCAAGGGTGGAAGCAGAGGACATTATCTTGGGCAGCCAAAGAAACTTTGATTAAGTCAATTGCGCTGGCCTTGCCCTTGCATGTAATGTCCTGCTTTAAACTGCATGTTTCCCTGTGTCGGCTGCTAGACAAACTTGTTGCCCGGTTCTGGTGGGGTACCGATGAGGTTCACTCAAAGGTGCGGTGGGTGTCCTGGCGTAACATGTGCAGAAGTAAGCATGATGGGGGGATGGGATTCCTCAGATTCGAGCATTTTAATCAGGCTCTGTTAGCAAAGATTGGTTGGCGTATACTGGTTGAACCCCAGTCCCTCTTGGCCCAGGTTTATAAAGGCAAATATTTCCCCAGAGGAACGTTTCTCCAGGCTTTGCCACGATCTCGGCCTTCCTGGGGCTGGTAAAGCATCCTATATGGTCGCCAGTTGCTGGAGGTTGGTCTTCGTTGGCAGATTGGAAATGGAAAGACTGCTTCCCTCCTTCAATCCAATTGGATACCCCGTTGCCAGATGGATTCCCCAAGTTATAATCCGCAGATTTTACCAGAGGATGGTAACCCGAAGGTGGCTGAGGTCATTTTTCCTGGCGAGGGGCGGTGGTGTGACACCAAACTAAGTCAGTGGTTTGATCCGCCTACCTGTCGGGCCATTAAAGCAATTTCGCTGCCTAGGCAAGATGTGGAGGATAAGATGATCTGGCATGACACATGGGGTGTTCACAGTCAAGTCAGCCTATCATCTTGCGGTCTCCCTTGATAGGAGGAAGGGTGGTTGGAAATCTCTGGCAAGTTGGATGGATAAGTCGAGTTGGATAAGGTTATGGAATGCTAACATCCCTCTCAAATTGAAGGTCTTTGTTTGGCAAATCCTCAATCGGGCCCTCCCTACCACAGAGGCTTTAATTGAGAAAAAGGTCCCTGTCCATCCTCGTTGTCCGATTTGTTGGGCTAGTTCTGAGACAATGGAGCATTTATTTTTAGAATGCCCGGTTGCGCGGGCACTTTGGGATTATTCGGGGTTGGGAGTACTTGGGCGAGGGGTTGCCTCGGCATACCTTTCCTTTATTTCTGAAGAAGTTGTTGGCCTTGATTAATCAGCCCACGCTATTCATGGCTGTGGTGGCTGTTCTATGGAGGATCTGGCGGTCACGTAATTGGGTGGTCTTCGAGGGAAAGCAGTTCGGGTTCCCTGCGCTGATGCGTCAGTTTCACCAGCAGTATGAGGAATGGATGGCCTTGCCGCCTGGTGGTCCTATGCACGTTAGCCGTCCTATGGGGTCGCATATTTTGGATCCGGTGGAGCCTAATAGGATTGTGTGCAGGTGGGATGGCGCCACTAAGAGTGGGTGCCATTCGGCGGGTGGGATTGTTCTCTTTACTCCTTTAAGGGAGGTTTTCCTTGTTAAAGGGTTCCAAATTCCGGTAATTGATGACCCTATGGTGGTGGAGTTGCTCGTGCTTAGGATGGCGATTATTTGGTGTCTAGACCTTGGATTTACGAACGTCACTTTTGAGGGGGATGCCAAGGTAGTCATTGATAAAATCAATCAGGCAGATGTCAGAGATAACCGGGTAGGGGCTGTGCTTGAAGAGGTTGTGAAGTAATTTAGTTCCCATTCTGAGTTTGGTGTTCGATTTGTAGGTCGGCGTAGCAATAGGGTAGCCCGTTTGGTGGCTAGAAAGGCCCTTTCTTTGTCCCCGTCTATGAATCGTGTATTTGATTTTCAGACCTGGCTGATTTCCAGGGTGTAACTATCTTTTTGTTTGATTCAATATATATCTATCTTTTGTCAAAAAAAAAAAAAATACATTGATACTTTCGTTTTTTGGGCAGAAGAGCACAAATGTGTAAAATAAAATGAAAGTACACGGGGAAAAGCATAGACCAGGAAACCGGATCGTACCGATCAGTTCAACCGGTTCAACCGGAAACCGGACCTGAAACGATACGGTAGACTGATGACACTCAAAATACCATGTCAGGCGATTTTTTCGGTTTAACCGGTACAAAAGGAAATACCGGCCGGTTTTGGTCTAACCAGCGGTAGAGTTATTTTAATGAAAACGTCGCCGTTTTTGAAACTTCAAATTATATAAAAAAAAATCGGCAGAAGGCCAAAAACCCTAATCAGATCTCTAACGAAAATCGGCAGCCAGGCTTTTAATCGTTTCTTCTTTCTTCCCCAGGCCCGCCCCGCCCCGCCGATCCTCCTCTTCACCTCAGGCGATTAGCGACCGTGCATGATTTGCTACTATGGAACCGGCGACCCGCGACTGCCACTTCTCCGTTCCTCTTCTCTTCCTTTCTGGCGCCGTGCATGATTTGCTATCATGGGACTCTTCAATTCACATTACAATCTTTAGACTCATCTGTAATAATAAGCATACTTTGGAGGTCAGTGATGTTAAACATATTTCGTTGCTTTTGTATTCCTAATGAATATTATGTAGTATGAGAATGTTGTTTGGTTTGCGAATGTTGTACTTTGTTGATTTTTATTTTATATTATCTATGCTTAATTCAGGTTTGTTATCTGGTATATTCCGGATTTATTCCGGTATTACTCTGAAACGGTATCCTGAAACGGACGGTACGGTTTTTTAACAAAAATATATTTTTTAATTACAAAAACGGTATTTTACCGGTACACAACAGTTGAACCACGGTCGTACCACAAAATACCATACCACAAACGGATCCGATATGACTTCCGATACGGTTCCCTTTACCATGGGAAAAAGTTGAAGCATCTATAGGAAAGAGGACGACCAAGATACAACAGCCATCCCCCCACCCATTCTGCCAACAACCAATGAGTAATTCCATAGCTGCATTTGCTGATGATAAACCTGCTGTCTCTAAAATTCATTATAGATTCTTTTGTTGCGCTCCTTCCACACGACTAATGGTAGAAGCTGCAAAAACTTGTTAAACTGACAGTTGTGAGCCCATCTGTTGATGAAATCTGTGACTTTAAACGGACAGCTCCCACCAAGATTATATCATCTCCACGCATATTTGCAAAGCATACAATTGAGCTCACACAGGTACCAGAGATGCGATTAGGTTAGAGATTGACCAGCCCATTCCCTTTCTCGTCTCTTCTGTTTTGCTTGCATCCGATTGAATTTTTCTTTCCCCTTCTCCAAAAGAGGATCATGCACAACATAGTCATCTGGGTCATCTTTTCGTGACATCTTATCCTGCAACATTTAGTAAGAAGCCGAACTAGTTAGTTAATACGCCCTCTACCTGCTGGAAGAAAGGGTGGTCTTTTCCGATTCAAACAAAAAGAAGGCACCTCAATGAAGCTACTTCAAGCTACCTTGTTCTACTTAACCTGCCTTCATGGCACAATTTTACGACCTGAACCTATTTCTTTCTCATTTCAATAATCTCATCATAACCCTCCTACATTGCCAAGAATCCTCCAAATAGCACACAAGATCCTAAATTTTTCAATACATTGAGAAATACCTTCCCACGCTCAGGTGCAAATTTCAGTTGTACAGAGCTCCAGTCTGACAAATCCTCATCATTACCATCTCCAGCCTCGCCATTCGATGCAGTAGCTTTCCCCGAAATTGCCTTTGTAAACATCTCCAGTTTAGCTAAAACCTAAGAGCAAACGAAACCAAAGGAAACAGTAAAAACAAATAAGCACATGCGTCACTAACAGGAAACCATTTTTTCTGAAAGATTAAACAGATAAACAAATTCCAAATAAGCAGTATATTGTGCCAATTTTTCTCCATCCACCTCGAGTTTCTTGGCTAATCCAATATGCAATCTTATTGACTACGAAAATAAAAGTGTGAAAAGAAAACTAATCACTATAAGTATCATCCAAATAGAAAAAATGAGAGGGCAACAGTTACGTTCACCCTGCAAAGCTTGACGATTTTTTTTTTGCTTTCACCAATCTGCCTATATTCGTGTGTTCTTGAACTAACATGATGCATGCTCCTACGAAAACTAGTAACAAATGACATACTTCATCCTCTCGCCTTCCAATTCTTCGCTTCTTCTGCTTTTGCAAGAGTCTTCCACGCTCGGCTTCATTATACAACTGCAGGTCTGTATCTGCAGTAGCCGAGCGTTCAGCTCTAGCTTCTGATCCCATTCCTTTCTTTTTTAATGACAGCTTTTCCACCCTTCGTTTCTCATCTTCAGTGCTTTCAGCATTTGATCTGATTAACGTATGAGCAACATCATTTAGTTGAGAAGCTGTATATAAAGTTCAATAGCTCCGGAACAAGGAACAATTTATCAACGACAAGTACGGAAAAGGGAAGAAAACATTATGGAAAACGTGAAGAATGTAAATAAGTAAAAGAGGTACAAACACAAGAACCAAAAATCAAAGCAAACAGAAAGTATAGCTGAACAGCAATACAATCATTTTACAGGGGGGAAACAGAGGTCTGATCTAGTATAACAATTAAAAAAGTAGGCAATTGCATAAGAACTCAACAGCAAGGACAGCTCAAACCAACATTAAATAAAATATCTCAACATATCTGGGGAAAAAACCTAAGAAACCATCCCATCTGATGATATTAGTCTGTTGGATAAGAACGCGCAAAAAAGAGCCCCCGGCTTATATCATACTCACCTATATTCAGTCATTGGTTAGTCCATACTTTCTATGTGATCAGGAAAGGTTTTCAAGTTTGCAAATCATGAGATGTACAGAGAGCATTTGAGCCTAAGAGGGGATTAGATACTGTGCCTAGACTTTAGATGACGAACTAACAAACTGACTCTAGCAGAGGATAAAGATCATTCATGCATTACCTTGAAGCAGAAATGTCATGACCTTTTGAGTTGGAGCTTCCTGCAGACAGGGAGACATAGCAAGCAACAGTTTGTAACTAAAGCACAGCCAAGTGGAACACCTAGGATGACAGAAAAGTAACGAAGGGAAGCAGGGGGGAGAGTATATTGCAGCAGTTTATTCACATAGATCAACAGTAAATGATAAAGCAGATTAAAGATATAGGTGCACAGTTCATCTAGCATGAGGAAGAAAGCATCCTATTAGATGATTCGTGTTTGAGTCCCCGATTTCCAGCTCAGACATGTCAATAAAGCTAGTAATAGGTTTAGATGCTCCCAGATCCATACACCAACGGGTGTAACACCATTCCATCAAATTATCACAAAGATACAAGATCCCACTTAACACAAATGTATATTTGTTATGTATTCATTCCATTGAGTGTGTGCTTGTTACAAGCATTAAGGATTTAATCTCTCTCTAGATTCTTCTTATTCCATTACAAAGTCAGAAGGTAAGTAAGAAAGTTCATTCTACCATATCACGTTAAGAGAATTTTCCAGGTAATTTACCAGTTTGCATAAGGCTAGATGGATAATCTCCAAGTTCTTGACGTTTTCTAAGCACTTGCTGACGCATTCGTGAATCAAAGTTGGCCTCATCCTCACTATCATCTTCATCATTGTTAGAAACTCCAGCTTCTGAAGCTTTCTTCCTCCCTTCTTTCTTCGAACCCAGTGCTTCTCTCACAGATAGTTGCAGTTCTCTCGAGGCACTGGCGTCGGATAAATTCTGAAAGCACCAGGAACTCTTAAATGGATACCATGTAAATCATCATGCAAACTTTAAAAGAGAAAAGATATCAACAGCATATCCATTACCCACTATTTGACCTACTTATCCTCAAAGATTATAACTGCACAACTATGATGCTGAAAATTTTCAAGACGTGCCCTTATTGAGGGTTAATATCCTACCCAATACAAAAGATGAGGCTATGGATGAGTAATTACAATTAATTTCCAGGCACTAGGCAAAAGCAAGTAAATTTGCCGGCACAATTTAATGGCCATTGTGTCGACGCATCCATGACACTGCACATGTGCTGGTAGCTTTGCATCTAGAACTTTAAGAGCTGCTTAAGGTTATTGATCATCAACAAACTACAAAGCCAATTGAATCATTACCAATTCTTCCATTTGTTGATTCTCCTTTAGCAAGCGAGGATCGTTTAACACATCATGACTACTCTTAATTTTTTGCTTCACAGCGGCAAGCTGCTTCTCTTCTTCTTCAGCCTCATCTCCAAATGACAGCAAGTTCAACTTTCTGCATCCATTTTATATAGGTTCAGAAAAGCAGGGCATATTAAGTGACTTTGTTGTATATATAGAGGACAGTAACACTTACTTCACGGGTTTTAATTTTGAATCCTTATTTTCAGCATCGGATTCAGAATGGTTGACAGCTTTAGGCACAGCTCTCGGAACTATATCATCAAAGGGATTCCACAAAACCTAACAGACAGATACAGGTAAGAATCTCCACAATACCAGATCCTCATTGTGTGAATTCTAACAGTGAAAGCTCAGCTCGGAAGATGCAACAGAAGCCTAGTTAAGTAGCAGATGCAGTAAAAAGGATGTATTATGAACGTTTCTGTGTTTGTCTTACATATATGTTTTAGAGATTAAGCAATCCAAGGCTATGAAGATCCTGAATCCTAAATACACTTAGCTGCTGCTATAAGCAGTTAATCATAACCCGAAATACACATAGCTTTCAGCAATCACAATATATAATTTAAATGAAGAAGTTGGAAGAAAAGACAAAAGGCTACCTCCACTGATTTTATTTTTGGGATTGGATCCAATGGTCTATCGTCCTTACCCGTTTCAATTTCACCAATGGCAAGGAGATTGTATATAGAATCTCCCGTGACCTGAAGCACAAAATGTAAAGCTCTCTCGTGAATCAAAGTACCTAACTGTCCAACACAGAGCTGATGTATGTGCTTGCATTACTACATTCATCACTTATTAATAATGAAATTGTTTCAGAAAGAAAATAACCAAGAAGATGAATGCTACCTTTCCGAAAATGGTATGCTTTCGATCGAGCCAGTCGCTTTTATCTAAAGTCATAAAAAACTGACTCCCATTGGAGTGTGGTGCACCGGAATTTGCACATGCAACTAAGCCTCTGTGGTTGAACCTCAGACGAGAATGAATTTCGTCAGAAAATGCACTCCCATATATACTCTCACCACCTACAGGTATTGGGGGGCCAAAAGAGAAACTAGTTACTAAATCAACAAAACATTGCTGCATCTACATGGATAATTTAGCCCTTGAGAACTAAACTAAGCATAATTCAAGAAGGAAACCCTAACTATCTTCAAGCAAAAATCGACAAACTTGCAGAGGGAGGGAGAAGATTGCATATTCGCAGAAGGGGTTGAGAGATATTACCAGTGCCAGTTCCAGTAGGATCTCCTCCCTGAATGATGAAGCCCTTAATAATACGGTGGAAGATGGTGCTATCATAGTAACCCTCGAGGCAAAGCTGTACGAAGTTCCGAACGGCCTTAGGCGCCTCCTTCGGCCAAAGCTCGATATCCAGTGGCCCGTGAGTAGTGTTGAGGATGACCTTGCCCTTCGTCGGCGGCTCGAGCACGTAGATGGACGACATTCCTTTTGGACTGTAGGGCTGATACACTAACCTCGCGCTTCAAGTGTTTGTGGTAGTGTCCCAACCAAAAATCGAGCAGGAAAGTGTATCTGTTTCTTCTCAATACCAACGTGCAATTCGGAGAATCTGCGCCCAAGGTCTCTCCGCGGTTGATTAGAGAGGCAGCCGTGAAACGCAGAGGGTGAGAATTGAGAAAGCGGAGGAAGAAGGATGGTCGACTCCCGATGAGTTTGTTCCGCCTGCGCCCGCGAGACCGACTCACCAAGCCAACAAAACTAACTAACAGAGGGGGTCGTTTGATGGGAGATTTCATTATTTAGGGATTTGGGTTAATTTTTACTAGATTTGAAACCCGGCTTGTTGGCCGGATACATTATTTCAAAAATATTAGCAATCATTATTACGGTGTAAATAAGATATATTTTTATTGGTATCAAAAGTCAAAATATCCGAATTATTCAATTATTGGAATTTTTTTTAAAAGAAACATGCATCATAGTATTTTCTAATATGCTAATCGGTTCATCAACAAAAGTACCTCTGCCCGTTGGCTGGATGCATTATTTCAAATATATAAACAACGTTTGTAATTGTACGAAGTAAGGTATATTTTTATTGATATCTAAAGTCAAAAAAATTTGAACTATTCAATTAATGAAAAAAAGAGGAACATACATCATAGAATTTTCTGATATGTTAACTGGTTCATAAATGAAAGTTCTTACTGAAAATAAAAAATAGAACTCATGAAAGGGAACTAACTCTTAAAAAACTTCAGTAAACTACACTTCAAATTATTTCTTGCTGTAAAAATTACTGTAATTTTCTTATGAACTTCTTTGTTATTGCTTCACCATATGTATCATTATCTCTCTCAATAATTGTAGTTTCATATTCATCACTGCGAGTCTGCGACCTCTCTATCCATCATCAATAGTCTACACCTTATTCTCAACAATGTCACAACGTCACTATCACTATTTTCGAATTCACTACCTCCACCATAAAAAAAACTATTTCTTCTTCACCTTCATTTTATTGAAATTTTAGTTAAGTGTAAAACTAAAATGTTTGCAAATATGAAACCTTTATCAATTAAATATTCTTAATTGATGTGGCTACCAACCAATATTTTAATGTCCCACACGTTTAGTTTTCAAAGTAAAGGTTATAAATATTTTATTTGGCTAATGAATAAAAATCATACTACTATTGCACGTATTGTTAATGTATAGATATATTTATTTGGTTTCGAAGTCTAAATATGCTTTATTTTAATAGTTTAAATGCCAAAAACACCCTTCCTACAAACTCTCATAAGGCTTGAAATTTTGAATAGAATAGGTTCTTATGGAGAATCTCCATATAATAGTGGTAGGATTTAAAAATTAGATAACTCAATCAATCGGTAGAATCTGGTACAAATATCACGATTGACTTTGGATATGGATACCTAGGCTGATAATCAGTTCGGTTCGGTACCATTAAGCATTTTGTGCTTACCGTTAACTGCGGCGTTATATTAGTCGGCTCTCGGTTATTTGTCGGTTAACCGAATAACCATTAACTAAGTGATTCGGCAAGATTATACCAAAATAAATTATCGATAACCTAACCAACACAAGAGCTACTTCTTTCAATTGTGAATTTTTCTATAATTTTTCACACATACTCATGTGTACTTTTACCAAGTTGTTATCATTGAATAAAAAATAATTTAACATGGATATATATCAATACATAATCAACTCAATCCAACACAAGTACACAATAATATCATTCTACCTTCAAACTTTATTAAAAAAGCATACAACGATACTCAACAATAATTACTCAACTTGTAAACCCCATCAAATTACATGGAAGTTTAATGTTACGAATTGATGTCGAACAACTGCGCGCAGTTCTGACTTTCTACTGTGTTCCTTCTAAAACTTTTCCTTTAATTTATTTTTATTTTAATCTAAGTCACTATTACAATTAGGATAGTCAAGGGTCTTATAATCCTTCAAACACCCCAATATTTTCGGCCTATGTTGCAGCTCATGGAAGTGTATTATTTTGGCGTTAACTATGAGGATGCTTGTAATCGGTTAGTCGGTTAATCGTTTAACCGTCGATTATTAATCGTTTAACCATCGCTTAGTTATTAGCTTAATTTGACTACTGGGAACTGACCGTTTATCATTTAATCGGTTATCGGTGTATCCGTTAAACACCGGTTTCAGTTCGGTTATCAATTACACCGTTAATGGGATAACCGTTTATCAGCCCAATTGATACCAAAGGTAAGATAGGCTGACGGTAAAGCTGTCGCGACAGGAGGCGAAGCCCTGTTGAGGTTCCCGGGTAATCAACAAAAAAAATTTTTGGATATGTATTTTTCAATAGAGAGTAAATTGCAAGTTTGGTCACTGAAATAACTTAAAGAGTTCACGTTTACCACTAAAATTAATTTATTCCATCTGTAGTCACTAAGATTAGTACAACAGTTCAAATTTGGTCACTCTCCGTTAGTCTTGTTAGCTTTATATGACATGGCAGTCAACTCAGAGAGTTGACAGTTAAATAAATGATGTGGTAATTAAAAATAATAAAAATAAAAATTTAATATTTTAAAAATTTTGCCTCATTATGACAATAAATTAAAAAATAATAATAGTAATTGCAAAAATCTCTAATGATTGTTAGGAAATATGAACCCTAGTTTATAAGTTGTATATGAATGGGTTTTCTATGAATGTGTTAATCTAGTTGAAATGTTAATGGAGTTTAATGGAGAGTGACCAAAGTTGAAATGTTTTATTAATTTTAGTAACGACAAATGGAATTAAATATTTTTAGTGACCAAACGTGAACGTTTTTAGTAATCCCAGTGATCAACATTGTAATTTACCCTTTATTTTTTTATTAAAATTTATCATGTCAGTTGCCATGTCATCGCTGACTGTATTTTCTGTTAACTAATAACGAAAAACTTAATAGTTGATATACAATTTTCATATCGAAAGTTTCGTAATATAAATGACACTTTCGCTAAAGGTTGGTATTTATATTGGTGTTAGCCCAAAAAATTATCAACCAATAATGCCAATTTACACTCGTCTTATCCAATAGCGAATTCAATCAGCAGGTGAAATTGTCCTAAAATTCCTCAAGTGAGTCATCTTAGTGTTTCAACCATCGACGTTGTTGTCACCTTTTCTCCTTATTGCCCAATCTTCACCTGCTTTACTTCACAATTCTTCACTAGGTTTCCTCCTAATATCATTACAGAAAAAGGGTAAACATATAACTTATTAGTGAAAATGATATATCAAACAATTTATTAAGTATGGCTTAACAAAAATGAGCTACTTATTTTGATAAGTAATCATACTTGAGTTGCATTTCGATCTCAACTTGATCAAATTGTAGATTGTCGACCAGATGTCCTTGGGTTTGAACCAATAATATTGGACTTAGGGCTGGCAATTCGGTTATTTCGATTATAATCGGTAACCGATTGGCCGGTTATCAGTTAACCGAAATAAACACCCTCTTATCGAAAACTGACCGAAATAGACTTCGATTTCTCGGTTAGCTCGGTTATCGGTTAACCGAACCACTTTTAAGACCAAAAATCATTTTGATCAAATTCCGATAACCGACCGAAGTTCGGTTACTTCGATTACCGGTTAGTGGATAACCAGCCAGTTATCAATTTAACCGGTAACCGGTAACTGAACTGCCACCCCTAATAGAGCTTTCATAATTATGACCACTACTTTTTTTTTTATAACTGGCCGGGAGAATTTCAATTAAACTAAAAGAGTGTTATTACAATCCACTTTAAGATGTGGTAAAAGAAGAAGAAGAAGAAAAAAACAGGTGGCACTGAAACCACACTCCCCGTTTCTTCCCATCCACATTTGATGAGCATATATTTGTTCCCTTAATTTCTCCCCCCAAAAACCGCCACTATTTCCCAAAAGCTTCATAATACATGAATGTCGCCGCCAATCCCTTCACCGCTTCCAAAATCTCGCAATTTGTTGAGTTCCGGTACCACAACAGAGGCAAGACTTGGCCTGTCTTTCTTTCTCAGCTCACAGCACTTGAGCGCCAGTTCAGCAAACGCCAGTGCTTGCTCCACAGGACAATCTGCGATGGATTGGTCGAGCATCGTCTCCGCAAACTTGCCCTTCTCGATTGCTCTCTTCACATGGTGAGCCAGACCCATTGGAGGCTTGGCGGTGATGATCTGAAGCAACATAATCCCCAAAGAGTACACATCCGATCTAGTAGTCAACATACCCGTCTGTTGATACTCCGGATCTATGTAACAGAACGTTCCGGCGGCCGAGGTCATGTAGTACTGAGTAACACTATCCGCGACGGACGGAGGGACCAGCCTGGCCAGACCGACATCGCTGATCTTGCTAACGTAGTTGCGGTCCAAGAGGATGTTTGCAGGCTTGAGATCTCGGTGGACGAGCGGCTCTGGCTTGGCTTGATGGAGGAAAAGGAGTCCGGTAGCGATCTCGGCGGCTATGTCGAACCGTTTCCTCCAAGGGATGGGAGGGGTGTTGTTTTTTCTAAGCAACCGATCTTCTAAGCTTCCGTTCTCCAGGTATTCGTACACCAAGCATCCATATTCGGGACAAGCGCCGAGTAAGAGGACTAGATGCGGATGTCGAATGCAGCTAAGAACCTCAACCTGTATATATAAAAGTATGGTTATTGATGTGTACGGGTTTCTCATGCAGTAAAATAGCAAAACATGAATTGTGGTCACGTGTTAAGAGAAAAATTGTTAGAAACTTAGGGTTGGTTTTCATGAATTTGAGGGGTTGGTTTTCATGAATTTGAGGGGTCGTTTGGAAGTTGCGATTATTAAATAGATGTATTGTTGAGAATGCATGTATAATATTATACATGTATTGTCGAATTTGATGCATTTTAGAATACAACGTTTGGTATGTGTGATTGTGTGTATGTCGCATCAGCTAAAAGCTGAGACAAAACAATCTCAACTCAACTATCTCAACAATCACAACTAAAAGTTGAGATATAACAATCACTCAAAATTAGTGATAGTTTCTGTCGCATCACAGAAACAATCCATGTATTGTTTCTGCTAAAAAAAACGATGCATTGTAAACAATACATGCATAATGACAATCTCAACAAAACTATCGCAACTTCCAAACGACCCCTGAATTCCGAATTCAATATGTTATGGACTTGTCACAAAGTTGATTGTTTGCTAGCCAATTTTAGGAGAGTAAAAAATCCATGGGGTCTCGAACTTTTTGGGGGTCCAAATCAGTGGACCCCATGAACTTTAGCAAATCCCATAGTTAGAGGCGTGGGATTTGGGTGAAGGCCAACAATCTAGCATGCCAACAAATCTATTGAAGTAAAATCGATAGTAAAATCCAATGAGAAACACAATAGACTCTTTCAAATCTATATAATGACAACAAATATATCCTCTAATCTACGGTTCAAAACTCAGATTTTACCGAACCCCTCATTTTTTTTTTTTCAAATCCACAAAGCAAGTGAATTTATAATCAATGAAGAGGGGTACGAGTAATATAATCAAAATATGAAAACTCACTTCTTGTTGGAATTGCTTCTTCCCTTGAGCTGCATCAGGTCTCAAAACCTTAATGGCAACTGGAGTATGATCAAGTCTTCCTTGATAGACAGGTCCATAGCCACCCTCGCCTATCTTGAACGATTGCTTGAACTTTTCTGTAGCTGATTCTATCTCTTCGATGGTGTATTTTCTGTAACGTATGTCATTTTTGGTTAAGGCATTTAAAGCACGATTCTTGGCATCCGCTTCTTTTTTAGCTTTCAGTTCTGCAAACTTTCTTTTCTGTGCCTCCATTTCAGCCAATTTTTGGGCTTTCTCAGCTGCTTCCATCGCCGCTTTGCACTTGGCCTTCTCCATTTCTGCAACCGCAAGAGCTGATTCTTCTGCAATCCTCGCCTCCTCAGCGCGACGAGCCTCTTCCAACTTCCATTGGTTTAGTTCCTCAGCCTAAAAACCCATTTCGAATAATTAACAGAAAAATATTGGATATTAATCATGAACAAACCCATTTGATTATAGTAAAAAAAATCAATAAAATTACCTTCTTTTTAGCTGTTAATGCCTCTTTGCAAGCTGTGCTATACATGTTCATAGTTTGCTTAAGTTCAAGACGTAATCTTCTCATCTCAGCTTCTAACTCTCTCTACAGGTAAAATTATCAACTTTATTTTCACCTAATTACAATATCTTAATCCATTTACTCCATTGTCAAATGTTGTTTAAAATTTTTTTCTCACCGTTGATTGTGATGGAGTTGAATCCCCTGGAGAGGATATAGAACCAGATGAGAAATCTGAACCCAATATTGGTCCTGGAAAGTCAGAATCATCTGAGCTGCTCGAAGTCTTTGGCCAATTGGAGGAAATATCAAGACTTTCCAATGAGACATTAGATTGATGACTTCTAGCCCTATCTTGAGATGGTCCAATGATAGGGTCATTACTACTCTCAAATGATAGTCGATCTATCCCACCATTTTTTGACAATCTTTTCCTTGATTGGCCTCTATACTCAAAACAAATATTATTATAGAATTAAAACAAATAAATGGTAATAACTTAATAATGGCTTTGATTTTTGCAATTGGCTTCAGTTAGGGTAATCTCGATGTAACTTGTTGTTCCTTGTTAATGCAATGGATCTTTTCATAGAAAAATAGCTATCCCCTTACCTAAAACCATCTTCAAGATCAAAACAATCTGGTGAACCATTGGGTAGTGGTGCCTTTGGTGGAATTGGAGAGTTTGAAACTGATCGTACTGCTGTTTTGACAGTCAAAATCTTGCCCTTGAGGATTATATATACAGAACAAAACTCTGGTGCATTCTTCATTATTGTGGTTGCCAAGTCTTGAGTTTTCCATTTCCTAGAAACCAAAAAACAATTCAGTCATTTGTGTTGTTGGGAAAAAAAAATAAAGGATAAATAAAGTATTTCTAATTACTACTTTTTACCATGTGATAGCATATTTTGTGGAACTAGAAGCACCAACAACTATGCTTCCTATTAAGTTCGCATTGACATAATCCAGAATTGCTCGAGCTACATCGATGGTCTCGTCGATGACAACCTCCTTTAATTGAACCTGCAATTTGCCTTATAATTTTTTTGTATCTTGCTTAACTTAGATAAAGAAGAGCAATAACATCCATTTAACATTGCAACATAGCATACCCCTTTACGAGCACAATATCCACGAAAAGGTGCAAAAAGATGATCAACGTCATCTCCCTCTGAAACCTCAAAACCAATGAACCAACATCAAGATAATGATAATCAAAGGGAAATAGCAGTTATTTGTTATTATATGTATTGTTTATAATTTCATATTAATGATCATCTACAAAATGTTATATTAAAGATAAAATTTAAATAAAATGAGACATAAGAGAAGGGTACCTACGATAATGATGGTTCTTGTGTCTAACATGAAGCAAAACAATGACGGGATTATTGACTAGGAGACGATCAATAGCCCAACGAACAACATGTTGGCTATTCTTCTCCTTGCCAATGGCAACCACAGTTGCATTTACCAAAGCAAAAGCTTCATCCTCTAGGGTCATTGAAGCCATTTTCTGGAACAAAGAAAGTTGAGTATGGAAGAACACAAAAGATAATGAGAGATCTAATAAATTCTACAATTGCTAATGTTTGTGATGCCAAAATGTTTTGGCATCACTAACATAGCCACATTCGAAAGGCTTGAATGAAATAAAACTAAGAATTGGGCTATTGAAGCACTTGAAATCTATAAAAAAGGAGTTGTTAGGGATGGCAATGTTGGAAAATGATGTTGTTTGTGGATGAGATTGAAGGTATAATGATGAAGGTAGAAAACGGAAACTCCTACAAACTCCATGCAAATGAAAACAAACTAACTTAACAAACTTCACAAAAAATGAAGGAAAAAAAAAAACTAAGCTAATCTATAAAAAATTTAAAAAAATTAAACCCAAGAACGCAACACATATTCATTTATTGCTTGTTCTCTCTGTACTTTATTTAGATAATTTGACCATATAAGCACTTATTTTATATTTTTGTCCATCAACCATGCTGAAGTAGCATTTTCTCATAAATGTCACTTTTTATTCCAATAAATTGAAACTAATTTCCTTTTTTATATGAATAATAATAGGTAAAAGAATGACATGCATGTAGTTTTTAAATCATGAAAAGAATATCATCAAATTTTTTTTAAAGAACACATAGTTATTGATCTAACAATTTTTTTTTTAACCTTATAAAACCTATCCGTGTGCTCTTTCTTGTACTACTCATCACCTCTATTCATGACTATCAATTCGTTTATGTAGGGAGACGTCATTCGTCTTTCTGCTAAGGTATGAGGGATTTGTCTCGTCCGAGTATGTAGAACTTTCTTAGCTATGGTGCAAGGCAATAGACTCATGCCTAGAACCTCATGTCGAAGCATAATTGCATTGTTAGAATCGAACCGGTATATGAACCGGTATAGTAAGTGATTCGCACTTTACTGGTATAACAGGTACTAAGCCGCTATAAACCCATTAACGAACCGGTGTCTACTAAATAAAATTATTATAAGTAGAAACCATTAATAGTAGTATAATTATATGTTAATTCTAATATATTCCTAATAGAAAATTATATATGGCAAGTAAAGATTATCATTTTACATAAATATAAAGTATTTAAGCATAGAAGTTGTGATTTTTCAAAATTAAACGCAGCGTAATGATTGATAAAAGAATTTATTAGCTTTTATTTCACAAAAATGGTGCTAGACCAATTGGTAGAAGGTCTTCAAATCCCAGCTCTCTCACATTTGTCCAAAATTTTGAATTTGGTCAAATAGGATTCCGACCTTCAAAATTGGTTGAGCGGATCGAATGGCTAGCCCGGTTCAATCGGCCGGTTCACTTACAAATCGGAAGATTGGACCGTGACGATTAAGTAGCCTGACCAGACGAGTGACAGTTATACCGGTTGGACCGGTCGGTCCGGTCTGGCTTTAAAGGAATCTTATACCATTGATATTACCACCTAGCGTGGGTGTGGTAATTCTAGAAAAGGAATAAAGGTCTCTGCAGTATGTCAAAAATGTTAGAGGCAAATATCGAAGGAAAAATGGCTTACAAGGTTGTTTGTTGATCTGCCTAATGATCCCGATTGACTAACTAGGATCGTTCGACCCTAATAAACCACGTTACCTATAAATATTAAATACTAGGCCGCCAACTCTCATTTGGCTAACAAATATTCAAACAAAATTTTCATACTCTCTCTCCCTCCCTTTTTCTACATTTTCCCTTCTAACTTGATCATCAGATGAAAAATGCAGGATCCCAAGTTTAGTCTTTTGTGTTATTTTTAGGTCGAACGACTGGTGTCACTACATTATAAAATCCAACTTATCAAGAAAATCCCAAGGATTCTCTTATATGGCACCAAACCCAAATTTGTGGCTTAAGTTACAATGCAAAACCCGTAGTGATGTACTGCTCCATAATCAAATTCTCTCCATTGATATGTGAAGCAAAAAATAGGATACAACTAATGGTTCACATTATTAGAGTTAAGGAGATAAATGTTTTAATTTCGGACACCTGCCACATTGTTGGTGGGTAAAGAGTGAGCTAAGACAATTTCATAGACAACAAATACAAGATTTTTCAATATCACACATATTTTCAATGGATTGTACCTCATTCATTTTGACTCGGATTTCGAAAAGTTTTACATTATTTTGTTGCTTTACAAAATAATATCTATTTTGATATTTCTGGAGCAAAATATTTCAAAGTCATCAACTTTTGTCATACCATGATATTGTCACTATGGTAATATCATGATATGGTGTTGGCATGATGTTAGTATGAAGTATTGTATAGCGGTAAGGTTACGGTATAATAGTGGTAAGATTGTAGTATGAAGTCTTAGTATAGTGGTAAGATAATGACATAAAGGTAGTTGTATGACAGTGATAACATTGTATTATGACAGTTGTAAGATTGTAGTATGAATTCAAACTATAGTAGTAATATGGTAGCATAAATTCTTACCATAGTGGTAATATCAATGGTATAAGAATGTAAGATAGTAATATAAGTATTACCATAGTGGTACGATGATAACAACCATTGGGATGGCATCTGGCCGGATCGGGATTGGGTACCTACCTCCCGATCCCCGCCCGTCAAGGTTGACAAATTTCCCTGTCCCCGCAGGTTAAACGGGGGGATTATGTCTGCCGTCTCTGTCAGCAAACGGATCCGGGTAACCCATGGATCATGAACCAAGGATTAGAGATGCGAGCGCAACTATAAGGAAGAAAAGCAAGAGAGAAGAGTGGGGGGAGGGGGGAGTGACTGGAGCGGGCACGATTGGAGATGCGTGCGCAATTTTGGGGTTGCAGGAGCGGAGGGAGGAGAGGAAGAAGAGAAAGAGAGAAGGGGTGAGGAGTGTCTGGATAATGGCGATCAGAAGAGGGAGGAGAGGAAAAAGAGGAAGAGTGGAGAGCGAAGGGGAGCAGTCAGCCGCCACAAGAGGAAATGAGGATTAGGGTTTTTGAACCCTTATTTAGTGTATATATCGAGCGTCCAAAACGACGTCGTTTTGGAGGATCGGGCGGGGACGGGATGGATACCACGAGATCCATCGCTGCATGTTGCTCGTTACTCACGGATTTTGGATATGCCCATATCCGCCCTTTACCCATGATGGATGGGTAAAATGCTCACCATATGGGCGGGTTTCGGGTGGGTATTCGACGGGTCGGTCAAGGTTGCCATCCCTAAACAAACATGTGTTTGAAAGTCTTTTTTTTCTCAGAATGTAGCAAAATTGATAACATTGTGTATATCATAATTAATACAAATGTTTCTATGTAAATGTTTTTAGATTCCAAGTTAAAACGAAGGAGATATGACCCAATTAAAAATGAGGAATTATAAAAAGTATACTCTCACAAGTCAAGATCTTCTCTCCTCTAGAATCCTTGTATAGAACCAAAAGTAAAGAAGGGTGTGAAAATTACCTACCTGACCCTCTTGTCCTTATATTAATTTCTGGCTATCAGATCTTTGGTAGATGGACGAATGGAGATGATGTGTTTCATAGTTTTTGCTGAACTTAGTTTTGAACCATATTTACTCCCCAAATTTACTGCTCCAAGTCCCTAACTATGTATAATCCAAAGATCTTGTCTGGAAAAAATTTCGTCCAGTGTGGGGCTTTGATAACACTTCACTAAAATCCATTATTTTTCAAGTAATAATGTTTATGGCTTGTTATATTGTTATGTGTCATACAGGTTTTTTTTAATAATAAAACATCAATTTGTTACTAGTTTGTTCATGATTAAATTCAAATTAAACTGCTAACCTTGAATCCCTTTCTTGCCATGAAATCATATTTTAATATAAAAAATTTAGATGATTGTTTGAAAAAAAAGACCACAAAATTTTGGCTGATTATTTATTATATATTGTAAATTGGAACAAAACCTGCCTTGGCAGGAGCAAAGATTGGCACAGTGCTAGAGGCTGGAGTATATGCTATTCAGGGAATGCTGGGGCGTTTCATCAAGGCTAAGGTACTGATCGATGTTCTACAGCCCCTGCGTTCTCAAGTTTATGTGAGTAATCCATTGGCGGGCGAGTTCTGGGTTATGTTGGTGTACGAATTCCTTCCTATGCTGTGTTACCACTGCGGCAGACTTGGCCACATAGCTCTAAGTTGCACATTCCCGGATCCAATTGGGATCGAGCACTATGGACCTGAGCTAACTACGAATATCATTGGATATCGAGTGGAGGAGGCTGCTTTCATTCCGCAGCTGTTGAGGCCTCCAATCCAACATTCTGTTTGGATGAATCCTCAAACTGGTGGAATGGGGTAGGATAGTAGAAAGCAGAAGAGGGATGTGGAGATGGAGCACGCTGATGTGGAAGAAACAAGCTGAACAATAGCAGGGTATGAGGAATCCACACTTTAAACCTGCAAAGAAGGCTGAATACATGGGGTCAAGGGAGCTGATCGAATGGTGGTGGCAATGTGACTAGAGCTGGACGTGGACACTCTTACAAAAATGAGGGCAAGGGTGGACAAGGGCAGTATAATGCGTATGGCAAAGGGCAGGGACCTGATGACAGGTTCCGTCCAAATTATTTTCGAGGAGGCTATGTGCCTGTTCTTGGTCACCGAAGTGCAGAAGGCTTCAATGATGGCAGCTTGAAGCAGCTTCCAAGGGGCGGTGTTGGGCAGCTTCAAAGCAGGCAGGCCAATGAACCTAAGCTACAGCCTACTCCAGGGACGGGGAAGTAGAAGGGGAAGGATGCATTTTGAATGACTGCACCTGACCCTGAAGAGATCGATGAACGCAAGTGGGCTGCTGGGAAAGTGGAAGGATTACAGTTTGATCCTACTCCGGTAAAGAAAAAAATGTGTTGACAGTGCGGTGGAGGAAACCAGCCAAGAGTGATCCCAAACCGATAAATGAAGATGATTGCTTGGAACGTAAGGGGTATAGGGCCGTCTCTTACGTTTCAGTCGTTGCTTGGTCTTGTAGGATGAGTAAGCCAGATGTTGTTTTTCTTTCGGAAACAAAATCATGTAGGCGCGTAGTTTCTCGTAGGATGCGGGGTCTTGGTTTTCAACAGTTTTTTCTTGTCGATGCAGTTAATGCTTCGGTTGGGTTGGCTCTAGTTTGGGACGTGGGAGTGGACCTTACCATTGTGGAGC